TTGCTGTTACTGCTTTTAAATAATCTTCTACAAAATATTCAGGGTCTGTTCCTGTGAATACCATTAGTGGTTTATTTGATGTTTTTGATGATCCACCCATAAGGTATGGATTCATTGTCATTTGTAGTGATTCTGCGGCATTTGGGATTTGTGAAAAATTTGAAAGTTGATTTTTTGTTATTTCGTGTTGTTGAAGGTAATATGGGAGTAGTATTTCATTTTGCATTTGAGTTGGTTGGTACGAGTGCATAATCATTGGGTTTTGTGGTTGAATTGGTTGAAAAGATTGTGTATTAGTTGGATTTCGCATTTGTATTGGTTGTTGATTTCGTGTATCTGTTGGATTTGGAGAAAAAATTCTATTATATGTATAAGGTTTTTGCGCTCCTTGTTTGCAATATTCTTGGGTATACGGTGCAAAAAAATCTGGTTGTAAATAATCATCATCAGATGATAAATAATCCGTATGATGAGGTGCTTGCTTTTTATTTTTATTTTGTTGAAAGAATGGGTAATTTTCACTGCGATCCTGTGGAGGATGTGAATTAGTTCGAAAATTTACTGAGTTGGTTGTTGTCATTGGGTTATCCCAATAGTGAGAACAAACATGATTATTATTAGTTTTTCGTGGGGGATAGTTTGTTTTTGACGAATGTGCATAATTATAATTGTGTTCTGCGAAAGTGTTTCTTGTGAATGATTTTCGTGTTTTTGACGTATTGTCATTGGTCTATATATTTTAGTAATCCATATGTGAATATTTTGGAGCAACCGAAGGTTTAACGGTTGATTGTAAGATTAGTTGTGCCAGTGAAGTGTTTGTATTTTTTGGTGTTGTTAAATTTGGATGTATCGGTGAAATACTTTGTTGTGTAGTTGTTGTCGTTTGAACGATTTCTTCGTTTATGAAGTGTGATGGTGTTTGGATATCTTGTTGTGTAAGATTCCGAGTTCCATTAAGGTTTTCATAGTGTTTGACGGTCGAATTTAACCTGTTATTTCGCGTATCAGGTAAAAATGTATTGTAGTTTAATGGTGTTGCATCAATGGTCAGTGGTACTACTTTCACATAATCTCTTTGATAAGATATTGTACTTATTGCTTGACTTGAGATTGATTGTGGGATATTTATAAATGCATGATGAGACCATTCAGGGTCCCAAACGTAGTCTGATTGTTCTGTGATGGCAGTATTATCATTTGGATTTTGAGGTCTGCAATTTTTTCTTGCTTGTGAGATTAAATCTATATTATGTGTGAAATAATCTATTATAAACCATGCCAAAATTTTTTGTAAGTCATGTTTTGTGTGTCGTGAAACCTCGTCTTTAGTGAAATTTTTTTTTATTATATGTAGAAAAGTTGAAAATAATGTGATTTCATGTCGTACTTTTGTATGTTTGGATGTTTCAGTTGGTGAGGTACTTTGAAATTCAGTTTTTTCTAATATTGAAATATAGCTATATATTATTGCAAAAACTTCGTTAGTAAATATGGAGTTTGCTCTTTGTGAGTTATGATATTGTATGCTTTTATTATATTCTAAGAATACTTTTGAAAATTCTAATTCAAGATCGTCTGTTTGAATTACTTATTTACGATGATTCGGATTTGGTGTGCTGAATTCTATGGTGTAGATTCCATATTGTTGTGTTAAATTACATATATTTTTCAGATAATGTTCAATAATTTGTCTTTTGATTTTTACATCTGGGAATTCTGCTTTGCATGGGCTGATTCCGGGTTCAAACAAATTTAGAAGTAAATTCTTGCAAAAGTCATGTTGCCCTCTATTATCGGGTGCATCTATGAGGAAGGGGTAAACCTCTTCGTCATCTGGACTATTGTCACTTTGAGTGTGGCTGCGGCTCATTTTTTCGTTTAATGACTGTTAATATATAACTATCGATGTGTCTAATTGGTTGATTCCAATTATACAAGTGTACTGGTTTGTGTTTATATTGCTTTTTTATTCTTCTTTTTCCTCTTTTTGATGAATTTGAAGTTGTTTCTGAATCGGAAAAATATAATTGATCGTAAATGGGACAATTTTTATCAATTGATTCTTTTAATTTATAAAGTTCATCTAAATTGCTGGCTTTTGATTCTGAAAATGCGTTTCTATTTTTTGAAAAATAGTGATTTGTCTTTGTTTGTTTATTATTTTTCTTTTTATTGTGATTCGTTTTGTTCTAATATATCCAACTGTTTGGGTATGAGGTGTGATTACAAGATCGTATTTTTGGTTATCTATTTCACAGTTGTGTAAAACGATTGTTTGTTTATTTCCTAGATTTTTGAATGACATAAGGTTTAGGATGAGGGATGCAAAAAGTTGTTAGGTGATTTCTATTTTCTTAAACTGTTAGTCCTTACGATTTTTTGGTTAGCTTAACCTGGGTCTTTTTATTCAGGGTTGGAGAGAAAAGTATATCGATTCCGAAGAATGATTTTTTATTTTCTCGTGGCTAGTATAAGCTAAGGTGTTAACTTACTTAATCTTACTTAGGGGTAGTGATTTTGTTCAAGGGTTGGAGAATAGTAAATCGATCCACAAGGTTCAGGTATAATTAGAACGCAAGTAGTTCGTTAGATACTATTTTAAACTTACTAAGTCTAAGATTTATCCTGGGTCTGTGAGAGGAGGGTTCAAGTGAAGGATGAATAACCGAAGTACTTCACTGTTTATCCTAATTTGAATGGTTAGTTTTGTTGAAACATTTCTATTAGTCTTGGGTTTTTTGGAAGGGTTGGATAGTGAATCGACGTTTGAGGTCGTTAGACACTTGCTAAGTGGGTGGGGGAGAACAAAATTGTTTTTTTTTGATCCAAGGATAGGCCTTGATGATCAGGTTTTCAATTTAGTGAAATAGAAAATTAATTAAGATCCAAGGATAAGCCTTGACGATCTGATTTTAAAATTAAGTGAACTTTTCAAACTTTGTTAATCTTTAAGTCTTCCATTGTTTTAAAGTCAGTTATAAGGATGTCTAGGTAGGTGCCATTATTGGCCGCAATCGTGGTCCGTTAGTAGTAGGTTCTTAATGGTCCGGTCCACTTGCTGTTTGCATGAAACCCTCTCGAAATGATTTTCTAGTTTTCGGATAATTACTTGACAGTTGTTTGTTTTCGTTTTTAGGTTTTAACTTTTTTTTCAGAACTGGTTTTTGTTATTGAGTTAGGACCGATGTGGTTAACTCATAGAGTAATTTCGGATAGGGTACACCGTCTGCTCGTCACGCTATCTTATTTTCGGCCGGATAGATTCGTGCAACTTCTTAGTCTAATACCGATCCTAATCTTACTCTTATACTTTCTAGTCTCAGGGTGTTTAACTAGTCTCTGCTAGGCTCAATAGATCTAGAGTATACTGGTTTATTGCGGCTGTTGAAGTTCTCTTGGAGAGACAACTAATTTCTAAGTTAAATTCAAATCTCTCTGGTGCTGAAATTACAAGTAATTTCAGCACTTACAAATAAGTGGGTTGTTAGTTAGATGGATCATGATTGGTTAATATTAAATACTTTACAGTGGTAAAATATCTAATTCATCCAATCATAATATATAGTTTAGATCAGGTTCCATTATGTTCTAATTATCAGTTTTGATTGTTTGTTAGTCTCAATCGCCCGTTTGATCAATTCACTTTTTTGTTGATAGGTTGGCTTCAACCGATGAAAGGTGTCTGTGTTTCCTAAGCTTAGTTGATGCAAGGAGATGCGCACTTTTCATTGTTTGAAAGCTCTGGTATAATTGCTGATTTATCATGCTTTTTGATGCTTTTTGAAAAATGTTCTGAATTCGTCGAACAAAAACAGAAAAAAAGGAAAAAAATGTGTTTTTACTGTCAACTTTCCTAGTTTTTATTCACGTGTGGAGCGGAAGTGAAAGCAAAAATTTTCCAATTGTAAATTTTGATGACCAGTTTCGGCCAATTCATTTAAACTTAGCTTAAAGTGATGAGTGTTTCTTCAGTCTAATTTTGTCTGAAAAACCAGTCTTTGAACCTTTTTTCTCCTCACTGAGAACATTTTTTTTCAAAAATGAAAGAATTACGAAAGAATTCGCGGTGTCATTAAAGTTTTGTCCTAACCGAAAACCAAACGGCCGTTTTTTTTTGGATACTTAAACGCTTGATTATTTAAGTTTTTCTTATATATTTGGCGCCAGTGTCTTTGCTTATGACTTCAAAAAAAAAATAGGTGTGAAAATGTGGTAGCGCAAAAATATTCCCATTTTGAGGCCTACCGTGACAGTCTACACTACTCAGCACTGTTTTTGAATGTGAAATTACTAAAATCTTACTTCCGCTCCAACACAAAAGAGGATCGACTCTCAAACTTAGCGGTTTTTACAATCCACAAAAACGTTGAAACTAAAGTCGAGAATGTCATCGAAAGATTGGCCGCGGAGAATTGAAGATTCATTTTGGTTTTAATTCGTTTACTTTTTCATTGTGAAATGATCAAGGGTTTTTTGTCAGCGTTTATCAATCCGTTCCCATCGTTCGAAAAACCCTAGTTCCGCCTCTCAACATGGTAAAAGAAAAATTAAGAAAAATGAAGAAAGATTTTTTTTCGCTGAAAACATCGATATATCATGAAGTATAAGAGTTGAAATTTTGCTTAATTAAAGCCGTCTATTTTACTTTACAAAAACGCAGCTGGCGCTTTTGGAATCACAAAGCTCAAAACTTCGCATCACTATCAGTGGTCGAAACAACAAAAGTAATCAAAACAGTTCTCATAACTCTTTCTGAAAATGTCCGATTTTAAGTCTCCAATTTTAAGCGAGCTTTGTTCAACCCATAAATTCTGCAATATTTTTAGACATGTCAAAAAAAACATGAACTCATGCTTAAACACTTTTCGAAATGTATTGAAATCTGATAATAGTAAACAAAAACTTTTTCTTTCTTCCTTTTTCCATCTTATGTTGCATTTTATCTTATCTAAGCTTTTGTGTCAGTTAGATCTGCTTTTTAATTGAACTGTTCTTGCCTGACTGCCTAGTGTCTGCTTCCATGAGTGTGAAAATCACTGATGGCAGAGCGATTAGAAGTGAAGATAGATAAACTGGCGCAATCATGAAGAAGGCCTGTTACGAGAGAGCAGCTCGCTGTTTTCCCCACCCCCGATAAATGTCGAAAACAAAATTATCAGCTTAAACTTTAATGCAAACATACTTTTTATCTTAAGGCTAGAAGCCTTTAATTGATCCTCTGCCACTTCAGAACGGAATTAATTGTACTTCAATGTCAGGATGAGTTTGAAATTCAAAAGGTAACGAACTTAGTTTGAAATTTACAATGTAACAAACATTTTGAACATATTTATTTTTAGAATCAATCCTAACAGCATCTGACAATCGTCGCATGTTTGCGATAGTTTAGATCAGATTTTTCTGTTGATTTCTAGAATTGATTTTATTTTTCTTTTATCTTTCAGCGAAAATATATGTTTTTTGTTTAGTTCGCTGACCATCAGCATTTACTGTTGGGGTAAACAGTTTTTTTTTCATTGGGATTTTGCGGAGACTGACAATGGCAACCTAATATAATCGGTTATTAGTCATGAAACTTCAGTGCAGGGTATTCGTATTCGAAAGTTTATCGATCTTAATTTTTTCATCTCAATTTGCATGTTTATAATCATATTAATATAATTTCTTTTTAGTTGCGCCTTTTTATTTGTGAAATTTGGCAAAGAACACAGTTTGAGAGTGTTGCCCGCTCAAGAGAGATTTGAGCTGGCAACATGATTGAGATGCGCTCACTGTGTTCATTTTCCCCGCTTGATGAAAAGATCTGATTTTGTGTGAATTTCAAACATAATTCTTATCATTGTAAGCCACGTGGGAGTGGGGTAAACAGCAAAGAGATCGCGTTCCTTCTGTGGGTTCGAGTGGTATATGTAGGCCACTTTGCCCATCATGATCCAGTACCTGTCTAGACCGATCATGCACAGGGTCATGATGGAGGCAGTGCAGAAGAAGATGTCGGCGAAGAGCCACGTCAAACACAGCACGTAGGGCAGGTCGGATGGACCTGAAAAATGAATGTAATTGTTTTGAATTTAAAACAGGGCAATAGTAGCCAGTTGTTGTGCAAGAAGCAGAGAACTTTCAGAGCTCAAATCATATTCATTAAAATTTTTGGAAAAACAATAGATTAAAATTTGCTAGGTCGTTAAACGCTTCAAAGTTCTTTAATTTTTTGAACTTAACTATTCGAGACCAGTTAAGAGGCATTTTTTACATTCAAGATTTTGCCCTGATAAACGAGTAGTTTTGTTTACGTTGGTTTTCAAATATTTTATGAGTTTTTTGTTAATATTTTTTCATCAGGAAGTTAGAGAACATTCAAGGCTTGGTCAAAATACGCACAGTTATCTTTATAACGATTCAATGAAGGTTATAGACACATTTAAAAACAAGTTGCTACGGTGTACTAATACAAGGACCAAATTGCCTGCAAACTTCGATTTGTATAGACTATTGCTCAATTTAATAGAAAATTCTTTATAGAAACATTTGAAAATTATATTGATATTTCTTGAAAAACATTCCCCTACACACTATTTACACTAGAGAGTGAGATATTTAGCATATAGACATGCATTGATAAGAAACAATAGCATCAACATCAAATTTGAGTGATTTCTCGGCCGGATTCAATTACCGCATCGTGTTTTTAGCGCAAAATATTTTGCTCGTTAATAATTCCAAATTGACCAGTCTGCCAATTTTGAAATCCTCGCACTTTTTCAAAAAAATCACAGATCAAATCTTTTTTAAAAGTTGAGCTCAAGGCATCAATAGTTTTCAGATGATTAAATAGATTGTGTCAAAAAAACTCGAGCTAAAATTTCGAAGTTTGTCCAATGAGAAAAAACCATTCAAGCACCAACATTCTTTCATGTTTTGGAAAAAACTAACAGCCAAAATCAGTTCAGAAAATCATTTCTCAATTGCTCGACTGGCAATATATCATTGCCTGTTTTTTATTGCTTGGAAGATTTTTTCAACGCAATTTCTTTGGAAGCAAATATCTATTCAGCATTTGGAATTACTAGCTGTCCATAATTCATTTGGAAACGAGCTACAAGTTTTTGTTCCAACTTTCGAAGAAAGTGCAGCAAAACTAAGCTTGCGTTCACTTTGTTGTTCAATCAATATTTAATTTTTCAACTAAATGCTTTTAACAGAATTTAATTTAAAAATCTGAAAGATGTTGTAACCAGGAAGTCAAATTAAAAAAAATTACTTGTGTTGTTTTTGTAAAATTACGCTCGTTTGGATTGTTTAACCCGCGATCATTGTGTACTCATAAAATACGTAGGCGGCGGATTAAATTGATCCATTTGATATGAGGATAGCCATCGATCCGAATTTTGAAAAATTTATGGATTGGTAGATTTTGCTATAAAAATTTCGATTTGTAAGTAAATTTTAACGGAGCTAAAGTCTTTGAATGTCTTGCGCTCAAAATTAAAAAATATTTTGCCTGTGCTTTCGTCGCAAATTTATTAAAAGTTTACAATAAGCCAATTTTCCCATTTTGAGATAACTAACGCGCGATACACCACGTGCCATTAACGCGCATGCTCTGTTTCAACAGGACTAGTAATCGTTCAAATTTGATCGAGGCAATTTAATAATACGTTGCCATGTACTTAATTAATTGCTTGCTTTGTACTTTAAATTGAAATATGGTGTAATTTGGGATGTCTTCGTGATGCAAAAGTGTTGTTGTTCCGACTTTATATACGAAAGTGACGGAATATTTGTGCTCGGGGTGGGTTTTTTTGGGACAATTAACGCGCGATAAATTTCTCGCTATTAACGCGTAAGCGGAGTGTTAATCCGTCTTAGAAATCGTTCCAAATTGGTTAAAAGAAGCTTATTTGCCATAATTGGTTTGTTACAAGGAGCGAAATCTATCCTTTTGTCCTTTAAATGGCGTGTGGGGTGATGATTTTCATTTAAAAAATTCAAATTTTAGAAAAAAAAATTTTTTTTTCATTTTGTTTTATTTCATTGAATTTTTTAATGTTATTACTGACTGCTCCATAAACCTTAAAAGGCAGTCGGAACATTCAGAACTTCGCTCTGATACGACCAGTTTTGTAATTGATTTGTTACTAGGAGAAAAATCTATCACTTCTATTCCATATGGCGTGTGGAGGATGATTTTCACAAGAAATCTCAAATGATTAAAAAATCATTTCTCATAATACATTTAATTTTTTCATGTCATTACTGCTCCATAGACCTTAAAATGCAGTCGGAAAATTCAGCGCTTCGCCCTGATACGAGCAGTTTTGTTTATTTTTGGTAATGCTTTGTTCAATAAAAAAAGATAGTTCAGATCTGTTAATTGTTTTTTTTTTTGATATCTTCAATAAAAAATAATAAAAGATCAAATTTTTTGCCAAAACTTGTTTTGCATCAGAAACTTGAAATCGATTTTTGCTTTTTGTTCTATTTGGAAATGAGAACTTCATCCAGAACTGTTACTTTGACATCGAAAATTTGATCTAATAATCCAATGTTATTTATAATCTGAAATTTTGCTGGGTTTTTGAAGAAAACCTACCAAACGAAGACATGTTACATCCTGTCTGTGAAATTCGGAAAAACAATGTGACAATTTGCGCCCATTCTTTTTCACTAAAACAACTAATTATACCGAAAAGAAAGAACGCGTACTTGTCAAAATCTGAAAAGCAGTTTGTACTTCAAGTTTCAAAAAATGACGTAAAACATGAGACACGCGCTAATTTGTTGTTTTTTCTGATGAAAACCGCCTTCATACCAGGCATTATTGACAGTTGTAAGCTATATATTTTCAAAAACGTTTAATTCACTGAATTAAAAAACAAACATTTTGTCATAAATTTACGGATGTTTGAAGTTTGCCAATTGGGTAAACTGTGAGATAATTGGTTTGCTCGAAATTTTTAGATAATAGGAAGCAAACTATTCCTTTTCGGATAACATTAAAAAAAATTGGTTTATAGACATAAAATTAACGATACTATTTCTGAAACTGCGTGTGGGGGAAGATAAAGAAAAATTTATACGAAAAATTGCAATTTTTTGAAAGATTTATATTCTTATTTGGCAAAACTATCCTAGTGCAACCAGAGCATCCTAAGTTTTGGTTTGATACAAGCAATTTTAGGATTGTTGTTCGGTTAATCAAGTACACTGTAGAAACTAAACGGTTTCTAATTTGATTCACCCAGTAAATTTTGGATCAACTCGAGTGTCTAAAAATCAAATTCAATCAATTTGAACAAAATTTGTTGACTACTTAGTTCCAACCGATTC